TCATCAGACCCACGAGTCATGACCCAACAACACCACCTCATAACTCTCACCAATTACTGTAAAAATATTGCCCTCCATGGAGAGTTAATTACCACCATGTTACCTACAGCCACAGGTGATCCATCAACCACTTGAGAATGACGTGTTGGACCCACTGTCTACCCAACGCTACCAAACTAGTATGACCGAGTAAGGCCTAGTATGACTCAGTATACCCTAGTATGTCCCAGTATAAGTCTAAAACTTATACAAACTACCAAAGTGAGAGAAATATATTGTGTTTGAAAATGAGCTGTATGTTGTATCGCTTATGTATTGTAACATCTTTATAAGCCTTGACGATCACTAATGAGGTGTTCACGGTGTTGGTGATAAGGTGTTCTCAGGTGTTGTGTCCATTAGTTCCTTAAGTGGCCCCGAGGGTAGGTGATCAAGTTCATTACTGTCTCTACCCCTATAATGGAAGACTAATTGTGGCCTTGGCGAGTGTTGGGTAGAGTGGTGCGGTGTAGAACATATCTGGTGTATACGACTGAGAGAGAGAGAGAGAGAGAGAGAGAGAGATAAAAGCATGAGGATCATCCAGACAATGCCACAGTCGATGGTTGTAGTATTTAATTGTCAATTTCAAGTGTCACACACACACACACACACACACACACACACACACACACACACACACACACACACACACACACACACACACACACACACACACACACACACACACACACACACACACACACACACACACACACACACACACACACACACACACACACACACACACACACACACACACACACACACACACACACACACACACACACACACACACACACACACACACCCCTTTAATACTTTCAAGAGCAAATAAATATATGTAAACACAAAGCCACCAGTCACGCTGTGTTAAGGATCAGGCGGCTGTACACCACCACCCACACACCTGTATTGTCTAACACGGTACATACACTTCACCTGTAATCAGTGTAACTGCCTCCTAGGTTAGTGTCAGATGTAAACATTCTTTACAAACTTAGTAACTAAACATTAAATTTGCCTTACTGTAGTTTTATGTGTGTTAGTATCATGACAGATCAAGAAGGGAAATATTTCTCGCTGGGTAACTGAGTGACACCTGCAGTAGTAATAAGTGTTGGTTTGTTTACCTCACCGTACTCAGCCAAGATACGGATTTACGGTGTTGGTGGTCATGTGGGTAACCCGTCACTGATGTGTTCGGGTATATGTAGGACTTACTGTTACGCCAAAACTAAGTGACATATGAAAGAACTTTATTTTATGTAGAGAATATGATATGAATTACAACTGTACATTTTATAATAACAGTTGCTCAATATTTAACCCACTGATCGTATTCTATGCCAACATATTTATTTAAAGTTTAAACTCATGCCTCTAACATTCGTATATTTTGAATTGCATTTTCCTAGTTTATGGTGCAATGACAAAATTAGTCTGTACAGCGTCACAACCCAGGTATATAGGTGCTGCAGCTCAGGTGTGTAGAGGTGCCATAATCCAGGTGTATAGAAGCGCCATAATCCAGGTGTATAGAAGCGCCATAATCCAGGTATATAGAGGCGCCGTAATCCAGGTGTATAGAGGCGCCATAATCCAAGTGTGTAGAGGTG